GAAAGTAGGTTAAAGAAAATTTTAATGAATCATTGTTTTTATAGCTTAGGGAAATTTGATGACTTCCTTTCTAGTAGTGTTAACTGAGTTCATAGTGATTATTGTGCTTTATGATTTTTTTATATTCATATCAAGATGTCTTGTATTATATTGCTGTCTTGTTTTATATGTCATTGTATTTATGTGTATATATTCTATTTTGTCAACCTAACCTGTAAAGTTGTACTTCAGGAGTAACCTTTTTTTGTAGTAAGATTGTGGGGTTTTACACCACACCAGACACGTCCAATCCATTGTATAAGAGGAAAACGGATTCAATAAAATTTGATTTGATTTGATTCTCTGGGATTTCCCTAAAGGCTCTAATGATTCTTCGTTTCATGTCTTCTATAGATGTTGGAGGAGTTTGGTAGACAATCCATTTTATACGTCCCCATAAAATATCCATTTTGGTCAGGTCAGGTGATCTGAGTGGCCACGCCACAGGCACACACACCTATCCATTTTTGATTGAAATGATCGTTGAGGTATTCCCGTACCTCGGTTTCAAAATTTGGTGGTGCACCATCTTGTCGTAACCACATTCTGAGTATTGTTCTATATGGAACCCCGTCCAATTAATTCGAAAACTCATGTCAAAGAAATTTTACATATTTTCTTCCAGTGAGATGCCCATCCAAAAAATACGGACCGATAACTTTTTTCCGAGAAATTCATCCCAAACATTCAGTGACCAATGCTATTGATGATTCAGGCAACGAACAAAATGAGGGTTTTTCGTTGCATAATAATTCATGTTATGCCGTTTCACGGTTCCATTTTTATGAATAGTCGCTTCATAAGAAAATAACACAAAATCGAAAAAATCATTTTCCTAACTGATCTTTTCTAAACCCCATCGGCGAAATTGAACACGTTTTTCAAAATCTCTTCCTCTTAACTCTTGCATCAATTGCATGTGGTGAGGATCATTCTCGTATCATTCGAGACATACTGGTCTTGGGTACTCACATGGGGATTTACAACAAGGTGGAGAGCAAGTTGAAATGTATTCTCTTCATTTGTTACAGGGCAGATACTATCGAACTTCTCGTGATTGACATTACCAGTCCTTTCAAATCTTGTTTTTAGAGCCTGAGATGTCCTTTCATCTGGATGTCTTCTTTTAGGGAACTTCTCTTTGTAAATCCTAGATGCAAGGAGGCAGTTTACGTCACTTTCCTCCAAATCATAGACCATTTGCATAATACATAATTCATAATGAAAATGATTCAATCAACACGCGAAAGAAACTTCAACACATGGCGTTATTGACAAATTCCGAGATTAATTATTTGATGTTTGTCATGGATAACTGGGTTTATAAAGAAAAAAGCAGTATACATATTCTTTAGGTTTTTTGCACATTTCCTACCGTTGAAACCGCTGACAACTATCAGTAGATGGCATATGCTGATGTACTAGCGGCTAGTTTAAATATTCGAAAATCAAATTTGGGTAACTGAACGTAATAAAATCAAAGTTTTTGTGGTTACAACAACTACTAAAACTTGGTATAATTTGTAGAATATCAGTTTTTCGTATAGTGTACTTCTGTAGTGGGGTGTTGCAATTCAAAATTTCATACAAATGAAATAATACAGGCTGTTCCATTTGAAAAAGTTGAATCATGTCTGTTTGAAAATGAATGAAACTTGACCGGTTTTACCGAGCACCCTATATATTTCTTCGAAAGTTGAGACTTCCGAAATTATCGTAGTGATGTTGGCTAACTATTCCTGAAAGAATCCACTAAATTGCTCTAGACATGCGGGTGGTGAATTAAAAAAATATTGTCTGCAAAATAGGTTTTTCCGAAATAACTTGGCAATGTCGCAATAAAATTTCGAAAACAAAATCCCTCAGACAGGTAGAAAAATATGGAATCAAATGACGTATCCATATACTGGATGTGGTGTTTGAAAAATATAACTTTGGTCGGCGACGCTCGGCTGAATCACCTAGTGTGCGATAAAATAAATTAAAAATATAGTATTTATCGATATGACTGCAAAAAAAATTGAACAGTTAAAAAAAAATGGTTTTCTCTGTTAGCAATGGACCGAGGGAATCTTGTTGACCCACCCAGTATGCATTGATTGGAATTTCCTTTGGATAGGGGTATATTTCTGCGAGAGGTTAGTTTTTGGGAGAGAAAGCTTTTGACATTCTATTTTTCCATCTTCATACAAAAAGTGTGAGAACCTTCCAAAAGAAGAAACAAATTAATTCATTCACAAATGAACTCACAAAGATACGTATATTAAGCATAACAAATATTTTCAAATTCAAACTGGAAAAAATAAACCTTTTGAAACAACTACTTTCATATGAACATTGAATCATACAAAAAAAACTTTTTCATATTCAGTTCGTGATCCAAACATTACTTGTGAAACTGAATCATATGATATATAAAAGAGATGAAATTTCACTTGTATGGAACACTGTCATCCTCAATGGCGGACATAGATGTTTCGTGATGAGACACTTGCGTTATTACTTTTTCAGTATCAATCTGGATGATATATTACAAGAAGCATTCAATTCTCATAACATTACGGCCCAATGTCACGGATGAATCAAATCCACTCTTGGCACGAAAACTGTATGTGATGGCATTCACATACTCATTTGATTCGGAAGCGGTATATTTGGTTCAATTTTGAGAGAGATTAGTTTCTGATGAAAAAAGATTTTGGCTTTTTACTTCTTCATCTTCCTACAAAAAATATGGGAAATGTCTGAAGAAAGGAAGAAAGCAAGTAATTTAAAAATAAACTCTTCACAAAGACGTCTAGATCACGCACGAAAGTCATTTTCATATACAAACATTGAATAACGTGAGAGAAAGAGTACTTACTTTCGAAATAACTACTTTTATATAACATAGAATTATACAAAAAACACGTTTTCTTATTCAGTTTCTACTCCAAACATTCGTGATGGAACTTTTTTTGTATAAAGATAAATGAGTAGATAGCCAAAACATCTTTTTCCATTTTTTTTTTATTTCCAATTTGAAATTATAAAACGAAATTATTTATTTGAACATTTTTTGAATTGCAGAATGTATCATATGATCAGCAAATAATTAAACTATCTACCATCACTCTTCTTCAAATGGTACTAGACCTTTCTAATGAAAGTTAATTCTATGAACTGTTCGAAATGAAAATTCTGTCATGGAAAATACTTTCATTGTAATGAAAAGAGAAATGAACATTTATGTTTTTTACCTTTCTAATGAAAGTTCATTCTATGAACTGTTCGAAATGAAAATTCTGTCATGGAAAATACTTTCATTGTAAGAAAAGAGAAATGAACGTTTCTGTTTTTACCACTTTTATTTGTAATTAACGGTAATGCAGTTTCGTCCTAAACGGACTTTTCAAACTTATACAATAAACTAACAATGATTCATTACATTCGCCATTATATACCACCCCTGTAGGTACTAATAGAAATAGAGGTACTGGACTTGATTGAGTACCTGAATTCATAGTTCACGGATGTGCCAATTTAAAAATCGGAGAGTAAATTAAATCGATTTGATCATTTAACAGGTTGCACCCGCAATGTTAATGCTTGTGAATTTCGAAGGATTCTAAATAATTGAGTTTGCAACTCTTCCTTGCATAGTGCAGAATTTCCGTATCGTTTAGATTCGGAAACTTGTGGTTGCATGCCAAGGAATGGTTTGAGAACGTCGAATCATTTGTTCTAGTCTGAATGACCTTTCATGTTCAGCATACCGTTTCTGTAAATTTCCCACATAAACACTATTACACTCCGAACACTTAAACTTATAAACTCAAATTTTTCCAACTTGTTGACCTTATCTTTGGCACTAAAAAGGAAATGAGATAACCTGGCATGTGGTCTGAATGCTACTTCCACATTGTTTTTTCTGAAGAAACCTGCGATTATTTCTGTTATTTTTCCAAAATATGTTAGCGTTACCCATTTCTCAATTTGTGGTTGGATATATTAATATGTATATTATATTGGATATATTAATCTGTAAGTGAATTTCCGGCTTTGTTTCCTGACTAACTTCTGGATAGTATCTGCGTTGAAACCTATATTATGACTTATCTGTGTAATTATATCAATTTCCCTAGCTAGATTGTCTGCACACAAAGGCAGTGAGGATGCTCTGTGCAACATTGAATTGTAGGCTGCTAATTTATGACTGTCTGGATGTGAAGAATCGCTTGGGATGGTGATGTCTGTATAGCTAGGTTTTCTGAAAACATTGAACTCGAATCTATTACGATTGTGTGTAATGGCCAGGTCTAAGACATTTATCTGTTTCTCTATCTCTGTTTTGAGTGTGAACTGAATGTTGCTGTTGAGATTGTTCATGAATGTCATAACCAATTTATGACACTCGAAACAGAGATAGAGAAACAGATGAATTCCTTAGACCTGACCATTACACACAATCAGAATAAATTCGAGTTTATTGTATAAGTTTGCAAATGTCCGTATAGGACGGAACTGCAGTAACGTTAGTTACAATTGAAAGTGTTAAAAAACATAGAAATTTTTATTTCTCTTTTCATTATCATTTCCTACCACGTATAGTTACGGCTACATCCATCAATTTACTTCCATTTTGTTTTTGAAGTTACTTTATACAAATTCAAAAATTCCCTCTCCCTTTTCCATGAATGAATTTCATTTCATAATGGACCAACGAAGATAATATCAAATCCAAATAACCCCCAATGGGATTTCAATAACAAATATCCTCAATCCGTGATAATAATTGAACAATTTTAACAAACATTTTTTGATGTCAAACGTGTCTCGCTAACACCATAGCTTCATCGGTAGTGAATTGTTCAATTATTATCATGGATATTGTTATTAATTTTCATCAAGTTGGGGGCAGTCCATTCATACATATTCTCAATTTTCATTTCATTTCAATTTCCGTCGCTATTTTGCTTCAGGGAAAGCAGGAGAAGCTGGTATATCTCTTCAACCTGTCACTACCGCCACAGATGAGGAAGGTTTTCAAAGACCCGATTGGTTGGAGTACACACTAGGATATTCGGAGTTATCTGAAGAAAAACTAGCTGCACTAAGTAAACGTTATAAAACAAAATTGACTTGGGGAGTTACTTTCACAAACTTTCTCTGGGAGGGTATGACTATGTTACCGTTCCTGCAGAAAGAGTTTATAGAAAATAAAGGTGATATTATCATGAAGAAAATTAGTAACTTAGAAGAGTTGAGTGGTTATGACGTCGTACTCAATTGTACTGGATTGGGTTCTCAGGAACTAATTGGTATGTATACAAGAAACATGCACTATTCAGCTAGGTAAGGTGTCACTTTATAACTATGGAACATATTGTGATTGTTTTCGAGTAAAAAAGTACATTATCCTTCTTTTCATTTGATAATAGGTTAAAAATGAATGACTGGTATCATATCATTTAACTTCATTGAAATTGGAAATCTCTGTTGGATATCCTACACTGAAGAATGTGTCAAAAAATGTATAGTTTTGTGACTCATATCGCGATGGATATTGAATTACATTCAATATCTTGAACATTTGTTTAGGAAATGGAGCCGACAATAATTCAAAATGTTCCGTTCTATACCCAAACCTGATGAACACAGTCATCTAGACTATTCAGATTCATATTCAAAGCAGAAGCCGGTATGGCCATAACTTATTTATAGTTATGGGAGTAATGCTACTTCAATATAGTTGAATTAGCCTCATGCTGAGACCAAAGTTGTAGAGACTTGATGGAATCAAGTACCATACACGTCAAATAGAATTCTGCCGTGAATGGTCTGCATTCATGAAGGGTGAGTAACTATTTCGAAACCGATTGGAAGGTCACAGATCAATTCATTCCAAGGATCTTTTGTTGGAAATTCAAATAGATATATTTCAATATTGCTGTATTATTAGCCACGAAAGTGAATCATGCTCCAAAAGAAATGTATATGTGTGGGACAGCAAGTAGAAGTATGGTAGACAAAATTATACATAGGCAGAATAAAAATTTCTTACGAAAATCTGTTTTTACCATCTGAGAAATGTTGAAATCAAATAGCAAATACATTGGTAATAATTTGATTGAACCAACATAACATAAACTTTTTATTTCATGAGTTAGTTCAAACTACCTCCCAATTCTCTGGAACATACTGGTCATATACTCTAACTCAACACAAATTCCAATTATTTCTATGAAACTTTCAGTGGAATCCTCTGTTTTCGTTTGTTGTGATGTGATTGGTCTGACACCTGATACGTCTGAATGTATTGATTGCCTACCATTTATATTTTTGTGAAAGTCTCTGCTGATCCAGAAGACTTCGGAGTCAACGTCAGAAAAACTTATAAAGACGATTCGAATAGGTGGAAAAAAGTACAAAAAGGCATGAATAAATACTTTGAGAGATGAATAAAATATGATTTTGCCAGCACAACATGAAGAAATACTTGGGGTCATGATATATAGCCTAAAAATATCATTATAGTTTTTGAAGAAAGTGAATTGAGGATCCCATGGGAACTTGGACTAGTTGAAAAAGTTTTCCACAAAACATAACATATTTATGAACCACCGCTGGCAAAGTTACCAAAAATATTGATAGTGAGAGTAGTAGACTAAATTAGGGAACTCATTAGTTTTTGTTTTTGTAGAAAATAAAGTCAGGTCACATATTCCAAACAATGTTTTGAGTTATTCTCATTCCCAATGATTTATATTTTGTTATTATCTTGAATATTTTTGTACATGAACATGACTATTGGAAAAACCTTTTTCTCTACTAGGAAGAGCACTTTTGTTATGGTGAAATAAAAAATATTTTGAATAGATTTATTCTACGCCAGAGATTTCAAATTCTACTCATTATTAAAAACGTGACATTATTATTGTGAGTATATAAACTCAGTTGGGGTGTTCAATAGTTTTTGAGAAATGTGTTAGATCTTCTCTAGGAATGTGTATGGTTTTGGTTAATATATTGAATGTGAGGTCTTGTCGTGTTTTGATTTGTACTTGTTCCTCGATAAGTGATTTATGACTGTTACATATGATCAACATTTAGCTG